ACCAACTATCATCCTGGTTTTTTTAAATAAATTTTTTTTTGTTTTGAAACAGAAGATATTTTGATAACAGGAAGAAATTTTCATCCATTATTGTGTTAAAAAAGAAAATGTAAAGATTCTTTAACTAATTCAGTGTTATTCCATTTACAGAAAGAGTACCAGTTCTTTAAAAAATACTTCATGGAAAAGTATTGTGTTTTGGGGGTAAACAAAGATTTTAAAAAATACCTTGATGCTCCAAATGTAACATAGGAAGGCAAACCAAGAACTGGCCGCTGATTCACATTCCCCAGCCCACAAGACATTTCCTAATTCGAAAGCATACCTAACTAAAAGGCTTACTGGTTTTTGTTTAGCTCATAAGATTTAATAAGGTAATATACAGCAATTACATTTTAAAATCAGAGCAGATGGTGGGCTTTACGTTAATACATTCAGATCAAAGGATCAGTTTTGTTGAAACACAATTTAACTGGAATAAGGGTAAATAAAAACTTTAATAGCCCTCATATGATTATAAAATGATAACTATAATTAATATACACACATTCTTCATATAACAAGCTGATTTCCCCATGTTTACTGTTTTTAAAAGCTCAGTCTATGTAAAATTTGAATTACAAAACTATTAAACAAAGGTGTGTCACTGTGTATTTTAATGATTAAAGTAAATGTTACATTGTCATGTATTCCTGACATCCTATATCTGAATTTTAAAGGTTGTTATATTTGGATACCAATTGTCAAATAGTAAACATTCTCCTACCTTTAAATTAATGAATTTTTAAAAGAGATATGAATATGGAAACTTCTAAAATATATTTCATAGATATATGTTATTTAAACTATTTTGTGGCAATTAGAACATTTTGTTTGTTGTTGTACATCCAACTTTGAATCTATTTGTTTATTTTTTTTGGAGATACGGTCTTGCTATATAGTCCAGGCCAGCCTTGAACTCGCAAACTTGCAATAATCTTTTTGCCTCAGCCTCCTGAGTGCAGGGAATTATGAGTGTGCCTGTACACCATGCCTGGCTGTACATCCCAATTTGAATTTCATTATCTTTTTTATATGTCCTTCAAAAACAGCATTTCTTTGATTTTCAAGCTCTTAATACATTAGATATTATATATGACAATAATAGTATATAATATATGTTTGAACAATATACATACAACATATATTAGAACAAACTCACGGGAGCTTAAGATATCTGATTTATTTATTTATTTATCTATTTGTACCCAGGATTGAACTCACAAGTTCATGCTTGCCAGGCAGGCACTGTGCTGCTGGGCTATATCCCCAGCAAGATGACTAATGTATTGATGCTTTTGAAAATGACATTGTTGTAAGAAGGTAACGTGCTCATTTAGGTTCATATCAAATCTAAGTGTTTTATTGTTGTTGTTGTTGAGTGTTTAGGAAATTCTTGATGATTTCAACTCATCCACAGTGAGAAGTAAAGCTTTCTGTCACAAAAGCAGGGAGGATGAGACACAAGGTCAAAGGGCACTTTGGAAACAAACAGCTGGACCAGTTTATTTAAACAGATAGAGGGATGGGGGAACTGACCTCCATTTGACTTATAGTGGGAGGAGGAAGAATGTCATTTTATTACTTTGCCCAGAAGGAAAATGTTTTTGTATCAGAATTCACCCCTGAAGCCATCTGAACACGTGGCTCTGCGGTGATGGTAGCATAACTCCAAAGAGAAAACACTCTTTAGGTGATTTGGTGTGATGAGAGAATACACTAAGAAGAATCAAATGTTGACATTATGTAAAGAGGAAAAAGATGATGTTCCTTTAGAAAATAAAGTGTTGGCCTATTTCCTTAGTTACTGTCAGATAAAAATGTCCACCATGACCTCAGTTAATGAGTTGCTCATGAAAGTGTGAGAATAATAATTCAATCATGTTCTGAGACTTTCTGTGTTCAATATGTAATTGACAGCATTACATTACATTGTATTTTTATATTAAATACTTCAAACATAAGATGTTCTAGACCTAAGAATGTCTTCAAATGGTTCAAAGTGATTAAATTTTTCTTAAGAATTCAGCATTTCTGTTTTGATTTTTTTAAGGGAAGGAGTCCTACTTCAGTATCTACATAACAATATGTAGTTTATATCTGTTATCAATAAAAACAGTCATTGCCACCAAAAAAAAAAAGGAAGAAAGAAAAAGCAAAAAGAAAAACAGGAGAAGAAACAGCAGCAAATTATACCTAATGCCTGTGGCAACTTAGCTAAGATGATTTGGTAAAGTATTGGCTCTCTACTTGGGCATCACAGTAGGTGTGGCTAAGTCTAGTGTTGTGCACACCAGGCCCTGAGAGAGACACACAGACAACCCCCAGCCCTGAGCAGAAGGGGGGCTAAGTAGACTCAATAAAAGAAGGATTCATGTTTTAGATAGAACGTTTTAAGAACCAGGAATGTTCCACCTAGGAAGAAGGGGAAGAGACAGTTACAGTACATGGGGTCTATGTTTAAATATGTGAAAAGCTATCCTAAGAAAGTGAGGTTAGCATTGTTTAAATTATCCCAAGGAGTTGTAATGATACAAAATTTGAAATCTAGTAAGACAGCTTGCCTTGCCCCAGAGATGGAGTGAACACTCAGGCAGTGATGAGAGTGTCCAGCAGAGGCTTTCCATTTACATGGGGAAATCATAGAGGAGACTCACATCAGTACTGTAGTATATGCTGATTAAAGCCCTTTCTAAAAGTAACTCGTGATTCCCTGTGGTTCCATAGGTTAAACAGCCGTGGACTCAAATCTGTGTTAATTATAACAAATGCGGGTCTGGAAGTAGAAATATGCAGAAGCCAAGATTTGAAGTATTGATACACTGAATCACCAAATCTTTCCTGAGTAGCTTTACCTCTGTCCAGAGCAGTACAGCCGTAAAAAATTTTAATCTCTGAGATACTCATATTTATGTAGGTTCTTTGATTCAATATTGGGTTTGCTGCCAGTGGAAACTGAGTCAAACCAGCTAAATTGTAGATACCTCTAGCTCCTGAAATGTCATAGGTAGCTAGCCCAGCAGTGAGTGGCCATGCTGTGGGCAGCGTCTGAGGTAGGGTGCTCACAGGTATTTGCTAGGTGTGTGTCATTCTGTAAATTATTAACATCTCTTTGGTGACATGTAACCTCCAAAAGTCACTTAATTTCAATGAAATCTATTGAAAACGGCTCTTTCCTATTTTAAGGTAAATAGTACATATCATATACATAAAATTTTGTGTTTTAAAAGGGACTTAAAAAAGAAACTTAACAGACTGATTTCCTTTCTTGTAAGAGCAGATTATGAGCAGTACCATAGATAAAGAGCTTTTTTCCCCCTCTTTTACCTATGTAGTTACTATGAAAATTACTTTTGGTATAAGCAGAATATTAATATTAAATAATTTTCTAATTGGTCATGCAGTGAAGGCAGCTAATGAAAAAGCAGGATTTTTTTTTCATTTTAATTGGTTATTTCACATGGTGTTTGTGCTACACCTGTGCTTATAATGAGAATGGAGAATTAATCTAACCTTCTGCTCACATGATTCCAATTTTCATGGTTTATACAAGATAATGATAACCTGATTTGCAACACAATTTGTTGAGGATCTGTGTTTTAAATACTTTTATTAGCAGCTCAAGGGCCTCATATACAAGAACTGATATAGCATATATTGCCAGTAAGAGTTAACTCCAACGTGTAACTTTGAGTTAAATTCCATTTTTATTATCTATTATAATTACTGTTCAGAAAATGAAAGAATGTAAGAAGACACAAGATATTGGAATCTTAAAATGTTATGAAGTTATGCCATCTACTTAATGGTTTGGTTTTTAGAAACTATTTTCCTTCCCAAAGTGGGTAGACATAAAATCTAGAATTCATATTGGACCGCAGATCCTTCAAATTTTTTTGGACCCTTTAATTATTGATAGTGCATTATTAAACTTTGCATTGTGGCTTTTTTATGTCCTTCTTAGATTTGATATATTCAAATCCGAGTTGAAAAGTCTGAGTCAGGAACTAAAAGCAATTTACTATTTCAAAATCTAATATGTCCTCATTTCTGTATTTGCTGTGTAATTCTTATTATGCAGTATAAATGGACCTCAAGAATTAGAATCTCACGAGGATCACTTTGAGAGCTTATATTTACTTTTCTATATTTTAGTAACATCATTTTTAGAGGGGCTGTAAAAATTATTGTACGAAAACCCTTATTAGGACATGTAATGTGACTTACATGATTTAATAAAATGTTTACAAATTTTCAGTAGTAACTGGACAAACCAAGACTATAAGTTCAATTATTATATAGCTGTGACCTTGCCTCGACCTCAGACTTTGCATAAAAAGAAAAAAAAAGCCACTCCAAGAAATCTCTACAAGGAATGCATTTCTCTGAAGTCCCCAGTAGTGTTAGTTAGTGGTGATAAACTCCAGACATTCCCTCATTTGATGGTGTGCTGCCATCCCAGTTCATTATCTTAATAGAGGGCATTAAAATAGAATTAGGTTGGAAAAGCTAGGGGAGGTTTGGATAAAAATTGTCAAAAAGAACTCTGAAACTATAAGATGGAAATGTTTCTGATTCGGAGAGGTAACAGATGTCCTCATGAGCATCTCCCTCTCTACACCAAAGTGTCCCCTCTTGCAGTTGAAAAGAGTGGTGGCCAGCATTGTTTCCAGAAAAGTTGGCTAATTCCCCCATGAAAAGATGAAATGGAAGTGTCCAACTGTGGTAAAACAGGCACATAAATCAACTCAGAAACCCCAAGCCTTGTACTCAAAGGTCGCAGGGGGTTACAGGTTTTGCAGCAGGCGAAGCTACACAGAGCTACGGAGGGAGACAGTCTCATTTTGCCAAGATCCAGCGTCGCCTCACTATGATCCGTCTCTTCCTCTTCCTCCACCTTTATTTTTCTTTCTTTCCGTTTTTGTAAGGAATAATGATTTGCTTTACCTTTTTGGTTACAGGTTTATTAACGCCCGGAGAAGAATAGTGCAACCTATGATAGACCAGTCCAACCGAGCAGGCAAGTCCCCTATAGTGACTGTATTCAAGTCACGCAAGCGAAAACCATCCTCAAGCCATTCACTGGGAGGTCTGCTACCTGGTAAATAAACTGGGAATGCATACTAGGAGCGCCTGGCAATTCAAATTAAACCAGTTTTGTGTTATAACAACACTAATCAATTTAACATCATCATAAACCCTTTGGAGAAAGTGAGGGGGGAAAAGCCAGTGGTGAAAAGTAGCTGTTGAATCATGTGTTCAGTTATAATATTCTTTGTACACATTCAATATATTAATGTTATTTTTTTCTGAGTTTGCCTTCCCAGCTCTTTCTGCTACTATGACCACTCCCTGGTGCATGGCTTGGTGTGGAATTGCTGTAAACTTTATTACCTGTCGAAAGGGCAAAGGGGTCAGGATCACTTGTGGGACTCAGTAAAGTTCAAAGACATTCAATGAGGTAGAGCTTTTGTGTGCTTTAATAACCCAAGGCAGCTTACTTCCGAAGCAGCTTTCCATGTACAGTTAAAACATGAAATTCAGGTAGTTGTACAAATACACAGTTCTCATTTTTCAGGCCATCTCTTGTTAATATCCATCTTCTGGTGTTCAACTTAAAATAAATGAGTCTTTTGTTATGTAAGCATGATCTTAGACTCGAAATACTTCTATCAGATCCTGGCTTGCAGGTCTAAAAATCCAAGAAACGTTTTTTTCTTAGAATTGGTTCTCTATTATAATATGACAGTAAAATCCACAAAAACATTCACGGAGTGCTACTGAAAACTACGTCAGCATCACATTGGGTCAATATGCATTTCACCATATTCCTGTAACTGGTTCCTTTGGCTACCCATTATGGGACCACCATGCAAAAACCCAAGCATAAATTTCTGCAGTTCAGCTCTTCTTTGAACACGTTTTCGAACTTCTTCACAAAGGTGTATATCTGTGTTCTTAAAAAGTTTGGTATGTTCTTTCTGTCTCTTTCTCTGGTTATTTCTTTCTCTCTTGGAGACTGTCATTAAGAAGTTGTGTTCTGCACTTTTGTAGTCAGTCAAGGAACACCTTATAACCCCGACGGACAGCCAATGGGAGGTTTTGTAATGGATGGTCAGCAACACATGGGAATCAGAGCGCCAGGTAAGACTGATTTCGTAGTGGTCTCTCATGTTCCACTCCGAGAGTATTGTCCCCTTTCCCCGTTGGCACAGGTAAATCCACCTCATCCTCTGCTGTTATCTTAAGCTGCCTGCTTTGCCTTGCCTGCTCTCTGTGCATCTAAGATATGGCAGAGGGGAAGCCAGGATCTTTGTGCACCAAAGGCCTCACTGTTTCTTAACCCTCTAGAACCTGTTTTTATAAAAGGGTCTTTTGGCACTATCTGTTGACTTTGCTCATTTTCTGGCCTCTTCTTGGATTTTTATCTCCCTTCTAGGACCTATGAGTGGAATGGGCATGAATATGGGCATGGAGGGGCAGTGGCACTACATGTAACCTTCATCTAGTTAACCAATCGCAAAGCGAGGGGGAAGTAAGTACAAATGGGCTCTTTGTTTTCACCTTGTCTTAGGAATATTTTTCCTCTCGCATTTTCTTACGTTCTCCTTGCCCATAGCTTCATGCTTGTTCATTCCTTTCCATTAAACTCCTATTTCTTGCTTCCTTCATTTTCTCCTTGGTAGTGATCAAGCTTTTAAGCTTACAAATACTGTGTATGATGTACATTTATCCCGTGTGTTTCTATTGTACAGTACTGACCACATGACAAAACAAGAAACAGTCAGGAGGTGGGGGAGCGGGTTGTCATAGCAACAGACTGATTTGCAAAATGTAAGCAGTCTGTAGCAGTGCAAGGAGAGGAAAGAGCATGTCCCCAAAGTGTCATAAATCTGTCTAACCGCAGTTGATGCATGAGTTACATTTCTACACTAACCTGCAAGACACTGAAAAGCCAAACAGAGACTTCTTTTAGGTAAAATAAACACAAGCTTTACTTAGGGTAAGTAAAGGCATATTTTGAGCTTCAGTCAACTAAACTTTGATTTTTTTTCTTAGTTTATTCCTTTGTCTGTCCATCATAATGGGATTACGTGTGGCAATGGAAAAAGGAGAATACAAAATAGAGGTGTGCACAGCAGGCTGCGGGGCTTAGCCCAGGCTAATTGACTATATCCAAATTAAGTATGCCATCACTTGCAGTGTGACAAATGGATTTGACTTATTCAGTATACAAAAATAGAGATCATTAATGCAATCTGCAGTGGCAGGCCTAGTGAAGTGGGCCTAGGAAAACTGTCCCAGATTCTCACTTTTGCATTTTTCTCTCCTAAACAGACACTCTAGCAATTCAAGTTCAAACAAGTAAAACTGTTTTGAACACCAAAGCTCTTGTTCACTTCCTAAATTACCCCTAATAGCATTGCTCGAGCTTTGTTTTTGAAATTAGAAGCAGTTATTTCAGCGTCTTGGTTGGGTCTCTGATTATATTAGCACACCATTTAAAATCATCGCCCAGGCCAAGGCTAATTCATACTGGTCATCTTCTCTGGGTGTGAGTCAAATATAAGTTTAACAGTTAGCCCTGAAAACATTCCACTGAGCTCGGGAATGCAACAGTCTTATTACCTCATCATGGAATTCTCTAGCTTAGTTAATTTAAATATTGTTTCTTAGTTTCTAGGTCAATTAAATTTAAATGATGTATTTTATGCTTCGTGACCAATTAAATTAATAGGTTATTACAAAAAATATTATCATCTTTTTTGATTAAAGAGCTGTGGGTACAGTATATTTTATAAGCAATTTTCATTAGTTCAAAAATGTTCCTTTAGGCTAGATTAAGCAGCCATTCATTGCTAGAGCCTGGAGACCTTATTCGAAGGTGTTCATCGCATTCACAGTGCACTATTACTTAGAACTAAAGCCAATTGAACCTACTTAGCAATAGCGTTATGCCTTTCACCCTTGATGATTATGGAGCTTATAGCTCTCAGAAACAATACACCTGTCAGTTTCCATCAAGTATAGCAATCCATGCAGAAGACAAGAGGCCCCCTCAAAGCAGGAGGGGTATTGTTTTAGGTCCAATTTTTCTTATTGTTCTCAAAATCATTGTAAGGTGGACAGGGTGGTTTTTTTTTTTTGAAGGGTTTCTTTACCCCAGCTCTAAGAAACCATGTGGAAGGAATTTATTGATAACTGTGTTGATTTTTTTTCAAAGTACAGGATTTACTAATCATCACCCTTAGTGAGCCTGTCTCGTTCCGCTTCCTTCCTATGAGATGTTCAGTGACCACAGCAGTGCGTTCTTGAGAGAGTATGTTTCAGGATACAGAAATACTTGTTTAGACCAGGTCTCAAGCATTGTAACAGTCTTATTTTCTTAAAAAATAAAATAAGACCTCAATAGGCGGACCTGACAACAGTGACAATGCAAGAAAAATGATGGCAGAGTGTGAGTTTCCAGCATGACTTTTCCCATTTTATTTTCTTCTGTATGAATCAAGAGAATGCTTTCCAAAGTCACGTTCCCTTAATCACAGTGTTTCCCTGGCTTTCATAGAATTGCCATGGCCGGAATCCTATGACTGCTTTTTCATAATATTTTCTTTTTTGTTTCTTTTGAATTTACAGGGCTGCAAAGTATGCCAGGGGACTATGTAGCCCGGGGTGGTCCAATGGGTGTGAGTATGGGACAGCCAAGTTATACCCAACCCCAGATGCCCCCCCATCCTGCTCAGCTGCGTCATGGGCCCCCCATGCATACGTACATTCCTGGACACCCTCACCACCCAACAGTGATGATGCATGGAGGACCGCCCCACCCTGGAATGCCAATGTCAGCATCAAGCCCCACGGTTCTTAATACAGGAGACCCAACAATGAGTGGACAAGTCATGGACATCCATGCTCAGTAGCTTAAGGGAATATGCATTGTCTGCAATGGTGACTGATTTCAAATCTTGTTTTTTCTGCAATGACTGTGGAGTTCCATTCTTGGCATCTACTTTGGACCAAGGAGCATCCCTAATTCTTCATAGGGACTCTTAAAAAGCAGGAAATACCAACTGAAGTCAATTTGGGGGACATGCTAAATAACTATATAAGACATTAAGAGAACAAAGAGTGAAATATTGTAAATGCTATTATACTGTTATCCATATTACGTTGTTTCTTATAGATTTTTTAAAAAAAATGTGAAATTTTTCCACACTATGTGTGTTGTTTCCATAGCTCTTCACTTCCTCCAGAAGCCTCCTTACATTAAAAAGCCTTACAGTTATCCTGCAAGGAACAGGAAGGTCTGATTTGCAGGATTTTTAGAGCATTAAAATAACTATCAGGCAGAAGATCTTTCTTCTTGCCTAGGATTTCAGCCATGCGTGCGTGCTCTTCTCTCTCTCTCTCTCTCTCTCTCTCTCTCTCCCTCTCTCTCTCTTTCTCTTTTCCTCTCTCTCCCTCTTTCTAGCCTGGGGCTTGAATTTGCATGTTTAATTCATTTACTCACCATATTTGAATTGGCCTGAACAGATGTAAATCGGGAAGGATGGGAAAAACTACAGTCATCAACAATGATTAATCAGCTGTTGCAGGCAGTGTCTTCAGGAGACTGGTAGGAGGAGGCATGGAAACCAAAAGGCCGTGTGTTTAGAAGCCTAATTGTCACATCAAGCATCATTGTCCCCATGCAACAACAACCACCACCTTATACATCACTTCCTGTTTTATGCAGCTCAAAAACATAGACTGAAGATTTATTTTTAATATGTTGACTTTATTTCTGAGCAAAGCATCGGTCATGTGTGTATTTTTCCATAGTCCCACCTTGGAGCATTTATGTAGACATTGTAAATAAATTTTGTGCAAAAAGGACTGGAAAAATGAACTGTATTATTGCAATTTTTTTTTTGTAAAAGTAGCAGTTTGGTATGAGTTGGCATGCATACAAGATTTACTAAGTGGGATAAGCTAATTATACTTTTCGTTGTGGCTAAACAAATGCTTGTTGATAGCTTTTTTCTATCAAGAAACCAAGGAGCTAATTATTAATAACAATCATTGCACACTGAGTCTTAGCGTTTCTGATGGAAACAGTCTGGATTGTATAATAACGCCAAGCCCAGTTGTAGTTGTTTGAGCGCAGTAATGAAATCTGAATCTAAAATAAAAACAAGATTATTTTTGTCATGCTGACTCCACTGCTTGAAAAATTTGTTTACTGCCCCCCAAAATTTTTAATGATTAATGCAGTAAATATAATAATTTTAACACCCTAAGTCATATATGTATTTGAAAATTTTAACCACAATGTAAGTTATTTATTAATAACCAGTGATTTCTTTAAATTGACTTGATAAATCCAATTTCAGCAAACTTGAGGCCTGAAGGCCCTAAACTAACTGTGGATTCAGATTACATCCAACAGAATTATTCATTTAATATCAGTGATATTATTCTTGCATATGATGGTGAACCTAAGTACAAAGCTCACTCAGTCTTTTACTGAAGAAGCTACCTAGGATGAGCAGTGTATGTTTATTAGGGAATTAACTATGTGAATTGAAGAGACCAGACTTCAAAATCTAATTTTTATAACTATGCTCTATGTTCTCATTGGATAAAACTGGTTATTAACCAATTTTCCAGAACAGCTGTACAGAATTTCTGCATGGCAGCCAGTTAAATGGTACAAAATAACATGTTTAAGCTGGAATAGCTTATAATTTTATTTAAATAAAATTGCTGCTATAAAAAGTGCTTCCCAAAGCTAAGGGAAATATACAAATATTTTAATTAAGGCAAATTCGTTTTAAAAAATAAGCCTTTTAGCAGTGATTGCTTTGTAAACAAAGGATGGGTCATTGGAGAAGAGGCCTTAAACTCCTCTGACATTCAGGCCTGTGTCACCCTATAAAACCACCCTCTGCAATTCTGTTTTCTATTTGAAAAGGAAAAACAGCTGTGGGTTGGCTTTACTAAGTGCCCTGTGACTGGCTGGCTCACCTGCTGGAACAGCACCTCTCACCTTTTGTTTATGGGGCCTTGTCTCTAAACACCAGAATGCTACAAGAGGAAGGTTGAGTCCATCCCAGCCGCTAGGCCTGGCCACCCCACCCCCACCCTATAGAGGGCCTTGTTTAAATTTCGCATTTTGACCCAGGGACAATCCTTCCTCTACATAAACAGTCCGTGTATTGGCGAAGAAATCATTCTCTTTTGATAGGTGGTTACTAGCCGTTAACAGCTATTTATTTACTTTTAAAATGAATAATAAACTTTATAAACTAACCGTCCATTTGCCCCTCCCGCCTCCCCTACTGGTGGCCGGGAGTTGGCTATTTTCTGTCTTTATTCTTGAGGAGGCTCTTGTCCAGTGGGGAGAGAGAAAGGGGGAGGGGAGAGAGGGAGGGGAGAGGAGGGGAGAGGAGAGGAGAGGAGAGGAGAGGAGAGGTGAGGAGAGGAGAGGAGAGGAGAGGAGAGGAGAGGAGAGGAGAGGAGAGGAGAGTGAGACAGGCTGGGAGACTACTCCTGGGGTTGCAGGGGAGAGGAACTAGGAAAAAACAAACCCAAACCCAAACTGTTGTCTCCGTTCCCCAGCCCAGCCTTCCTCTGGCGTCCCCCTCTTCCTCCTGACACTCTGCCCTCTTAGTGCTATTTTAGCTTTTCCTCTTGTAAATTTCAGAGCCAGCTCAGAGGTCACTGAGGACACTTATCGGAAGGAGGGAAATAATAGAGGTGTCCAGAGCATTTCTGATGTTTCTTAAAAGGCAAACCAAAATGCCCTCCTCCAAACAAGGGTACACAATTGTATCTGTTTTTTATTTTTATAGGGGGGCTAGGGGGTGGCCAGTGGCTGAACTAGATTACTTTTCAGTAAGATTTAAATATTTTTTCCAAAAATTTAAAAATATTTTACCCGATCATATTCAATCAGCTGTAATTATAACACATTCAAAATGAATAATATGCCTTGACAGTATTTTTATTGTTATTGTTCATTGCATGATGTTAGACTGCTTTAGAAGCACAGGAAAGAGAAGTAAACGCGCTACAAATGGGGAATTACCCTCGTTTAGCATTAAAATTCATTTAGATAAAATTGCCACAAACATTTAAATGGGAAGATTAGTTCCCCCTCACGCCTTATTGCACTCGCTCAATGGTTCCGTTAAGAACATTTTACACGTTGGAAATTCCGTCTTCTCAGACGGCTTGCTGTTTCCTAGTTACCCACATTCAAAGCAAGGCAGCGGCAAAGACAGCCGCAGCCGCAGAAGCAGCAGGGGAAAAAAAAGTTTTGGCAACTGGTCTGCAATTCATCCTCTGCTCGCCCCCGTCTCCCCTCCGCCCGGGGCAGCCTGCCCCCCACCTCCGCAGCCCTACCCCTTGCCCCCATTATGTAATTTGCAGAGCCCTGACCTCAAACAATCAAGTTGCTTAGTTGTATAGCATTTATAGATAATGTTAAAATACAAAGAAATATCAGAAAGCCAGTCGGGTGCTTTCGGAGGCTCCCTCTCCCGCTTGGGTTCCGAACTGAGGGTTCAGCTAGGATGTGCTGAGTTTCTCACATCCACTACCCCGAGGCCACAAAAGCAGAGTTTTTTTTTGTTGTTGTTTTTTTTTTTTTTTTTGCTTTCTTTTCAGATAGGACTTTTCCAGGAAATTCACCGCCGCCTCTCGCTTGTTCTGTGTTAGAAACGTGTTACAGAATTAGTTTGAAAAGTCGGTGCAGCGTCTGGCTTCTCCCTCCCCCTTTCTCGCCCCTCCCCCTCCCCGCCGCCCCTCCCCCTCCCTCTCGCCCCCTCCCTTCCAGAGCCGCGGGAAAAAGAGGGGAAAGCCGGCTTCGACTGCCACCTTTTGGGGATTTGGAAAAATGACTCGGTAGGAAACGCCGAGAGGCGGAGGCGCCGGGAGGTGTGTGGGGAAAACCCCCTTATTATCCTGTGTCGGAACTGGCTCCTTTAATCTGATGCTTAAATATTTGATGTGGAAAAATTACCCATAAAATTAGTTACTAACAATTTCAAATTGAAATCACTTATCGAATTATAAACGCATTAAAGCTGTATGGATGGTATTAGGAGTTCCTCGGGAGGGAGGCGGCGGTGGCTCCTCGCAGCGCGCGGGGCCGGGGTGTCACCCCGGGGAGAGGCGCCCCGCGGGGAGCCCGGGGGAGGCCGAGGGCGCAGCGCGGTGGCCGGGCGCGGGGACCGAGCGGGCGGCCAGGCCCGGCGGGGACTCGGGCTCGCTCGGCCTGCGGAGGCGGGGAGGAGCGAGGGGAAGGAGTGGCTGTGCGAGGCTCCGACCCGGGGCGGAGGCGCCTACCCGGGAACTTCCTGGGGACCCGGGGAGACCCTGAAAAGTAAAGCCACAGCCCTCCCGCCCCTGCAGCGCGCGTGTCCATCGAGGTGGCGCGTTGCTTTGCGGCCCCCGCTTGCAGCCAGCAGCGCCCCCCGAGTGCGGGCGGGCCAGGCCTGGAGAGAAGCTGCAGGGTCCGCGGCTGGGCTGGGGTCCACGCCCTGGAGAAAATCCCAGGACCGCTGCCCGGAGCTGCAGCCCTCAGCAGCTGCCCTTGGCCTCCCAGCGCTCTGCGAAGGGCCTGGACACCAGGCAGAGGCGGACAGGTCCCTGTCGCGCGCCCCGAGGACCTGGGGCGCTGCTCTGAGCCTGCTGTAGCCTTCTGCGTCCTCCCCACCCCCAATTGAGAGAAAGGGTTGTTGATGGCACCTCTGGAGACCAGGCGGCGCAGGGTCCGCGCCGAGGGTTTGGGGAGACGCCCTCCGGCAGGGCTTGCCCTTCCCCCGGCACCGCAGCCGGTGCTTTGTAGTGGACACGAGATTTCTTGGACTCTGCCACATCGGAGTTTGGACTCCGGAGTCCCACGGCAGCTCGAGAAATGTGACTCTGAGAGCTTGGGGAACAGAGGGCACCTGAGACTTGGCAGGTTGACAGGGCACGAGGGCGGGGGTGGGGAGCCGGTGCCCGTGGGCGGTGGTCGGCTCGCGGAGGTTTTGGACTGGAGTTTGGGGCGACTTTTAAAGCCTCGCAAACTTTCCCCCGCCGTTCGCATCCCCGCAGGCCCTCTGCTTGCGCGAAGGCAGCCAAAACGTGACTCGATTGTGCAAAACTCCTGGGCAGTGGTTTGAAAACCGGGTGGAGCGGCGTGGAATTGAGCAGTGGGGCGCACTATCTGGCCTGGCGTTTTTCCTGGCCGCTCTGCCCTGCCCCATGCTGCTCCGCACCCACTGGCTCTTTAGCAGCTCGCATAACTCGGATCCTGTAGGTGCAAAGTCTGCGAGACACTGGCAATCCCAGGGCCGGGAGAGCGCCAAGGGGCTGGGGCCGAGCCTGATGCGGGTAGCTGAGGGCAGGAAGGGAGGGGGGGGGGGCTCCCCTTTCCGCCTGCGCCTAAAATTCTCTCCGGAGGCGGAGCTGAAAGGAAAAAACACATTGAGCAATCAATTCGCCAACGTTTGCGCTTTAAAGAGTCTTTCCCCTAAAAATGGTTTCTTAGAGGTCTCTGTGGGGATGTCGGGGGCATTTTTAGGACCTTGGCGCTGGCTGGCTACTCCTTGGGGTCGCCTTTCCGCGCGCTGCCTCCTGCCCTCCTGGCGCGCTCAGCCCACCACCAGGAAATCCTGATTTGAAGCTTTGGAGCAAAAGGATTTAGTTTTAAACCAGTTTCCCATCGATCGGGTCGGTAATTTTACCCTGGCCCACTGGCAGACAGACGCACCTCCACCCTAAAGCGTTAAGTTCATTGCGTGAACAATGATCTTAATCTCCACGCGGAAAACAAGTCCCGGTACCACGCCGATTGGGGGAGCAGTGAGTAAAGTCACCTGCTTCACCCACATTGCTGGGCGTCTCCTACCCTCGGAGGCCTCCTGTGGCGCGCTGCGTGGGTCCCTAGCTCCCCGCAGTGGCGCGCCGGGCAGGGGTCAGGAGCCCAGGACTGCTTACTCCGGGTTGGCGACCTGCTTGAACGGTGAAACTGCGCATTCTCCTCCTCCTCCTCCTCCCCTCTGCTGCGCCTTCCTAACGCAGGCCTCCCTTTCACTCAGCACTTTCCTGGTTCTCTTCTCCCCAAAAGTTTCCCATCTTTACCCAGACTCTGGGGTTCTTGAGTCCAGGGGCTCTCCTTACCTCCCACCCCAAACCCCCACCTCCCGCAAGCGCTGGTCCTGCGT